CCCGGGGTCGTGTTCCTGCCCCTCCTCTGGCTGGGGCTGCTGGTCCAGCGGCTGTTGACAAGCGAGGAGGGACAGTGGCCTGAGGTTTGCATGGGAAATGCTACTCAGGCCCTTCCCAGATCCCATCCGGCTCTTGAAGGCAGGGCTATTATTCTCTGTAAATAGCTTGGTGCTGCGTTTCCTCTGGGCTTGGGAAGGCAAAGTAATGCACAAGTTTGCCAAGGGGACAACTCTCAATACATCCCTGGGTTCCACTCCTGCCGTAGGGACATGCCGCTGTATCCCCCAGCCCAGGCTTTTCTTCCTTTCCTCTCTCCAGCAGAACGTCTCCGCTGAAGCCTGGCACAACGCCAGCGTGGCTGTCCTGCCTGTGGTGGCCACCAATGCCACCTGCTCCATCCGCGTGGCCGCTGTCACCCAGGGGGGAGTGGGACCTTTCAGCAGCCCCGTGGAGGTCTTCATCCCTGGGAGCGGTAAGGAGATGCCCGCAGGGATGACAGGGAAGTGTCCAGCGTGGGCTTTCTTTCCCCAGCCAGTGCCGTTGGAGATCTCTCCATCTTCCTTCCGACACCTTCCCCCTCGGCCAGGCTATTGGCCAAGAATCTGGCACCTTCAGGGTGCTTTTGGTAGCCAGGAGAGGCTCGTTGTCCACGTGCCACCTCGGTCCTTGTGCCCTCCTCCCCTTTGGGCTTTACTGGGTTTGGTTTTAGCCACTGGGACTTCCACCGGCTCCACTGACGGGATGTTTTCTTAGGATTAATAACCTCAGCCCCCTCTTCGACTCCAGCCTCTGGGAATGCTGACTCCTTTATCGTAGCCCTGGGATTTATCTGCGGGACAATTGCCGTGGGGCTGATCCTCTGCTTGTCCGTGGTCATCCAGAAAAGATGCATGGAAACAAAATACGGGTGAGCCGAAGGGAAAACTGCGGAGCTGCCCTGAGCTGGGTGGGTGGCAGGCGCCTGGGGCACAGGCAAGCAGGATGGGTAGCCAGCAGCCCACGCTGGATGCGAGAAGCTTTCTGCCTCCGGTGCTGACGTCAGTCCCACAAACGGCGTTTTTTTATGCCCGTGGTGAGGGACTGAGCGTATTTTTGTTGCAGCGATGGTACTTCCCCTCCCTTCCTTAGCCCAGCAGTTCACCTCTCGCTCACTATTCCTATTTTTAATGGGAAATAAACTTATGCAACTTGGTATGGGAGGGTGTCCTTGGTGTTCAGACGCAGAGGGGGGGATGTGGTGATGTGTAATATACCCTGTGGCCTAGAGAAACCCTTCCTGCCGGAAGCTCCCTTTGGTCTCTTTTTGGCTAACGGAGAGGGGTTGCGGATAGGGGATTGATAGGTTGGAGCCGGGCAAGAGAAGCGAGTGCTTTAGGAGGTGGTAGATCTGGGAACCATATTCCTACCGGTACGGATTGCTCTCTGAGTAGGAAATGAGTATCCCATTCCCTCCCCAAAAAAACCTCTGTGCCTCACTCCTTGACACATCAGCCTTGTTTATCAAGCATCTGTTTTGCTCGGATGTTGGAGGTGATGGCACTGATCCAGTGAGAGTGAAATGGGAATGATGAGGGCGAATATGTGTTTCCTCCTTTACTGCCCCTGGTAGGGCTGCGGGCACCCACCCCTGCAGCGGCAGATGCTTCGTTGGGGGAGAAGCAGCCGCAGGGGCCCAGCAAGGTCTGTTTAAAAAAATGACTCAGAGCTGGCTGTGAACTACACGGCCAAGAAGTCCTACTGCCGGAGAGCCATCGAACTCACGTGTAAGTGTGTTACTTCATCCCTCTGCGAGGAGGATGATGGGCATATCGCAGCAACAGCTTGGAGGTGACCGGAGCTTCTCTTCCCCCTTCCCTCAGTGGGCAGCCTGGGCATCAGCAGCGAGCTCCAACAGAAGCTGCAGGACGTTGTTGTGGACAGAAACTCCCTCAGCCTGGGAAAGGTCCTGGGAGAAGGTGAGGAGATGGAGAGCTGGGGATACGGGATATGGGGCAGGGACTGCCGCTACATCATCCCCCAGCTCCGTAGGCTTCCGGCAGCGAGGTCTCCATTGCAGAGCATTGCAGATCTTTGAGGACGTAGCAGTGGTGTTTCAGGCTGCGGATAACATGCTTGCTTCTTTCCCACGGTGCAGGGGAGTTCGGATCAGTGATGGAGGGACACCTCAGCCAGCCTGAGGGCATCCCGCAGAAGGTGGCTGTGAAGACCATGAAGCGTAAGTCATCACCCTGGCCTCGCGGAACTCGGTGTTGTTCATCCCAGCGGGTGCCAGCGTTCATGCTGCCCCTCTTGGGTGGTGTGCTCTCTGCATCACGCATCGTTTTGTGGGAATGCTGGCCTCTGCCACAACTCCCGGTGCCAGTAAGGGAGGGACACGCAGACAGCCAAGGATGGCAGAGGCATCCTGGTGGTCTCTGACCCACACGGGAGCTGTGCTGTGAAGGGGGTCGGCAGCAGTGATTTAGGGGTGTTAAACCTCTTGGGGTTTTAAACTTCCTCCTCTTTGCTTCCCAGTGGATAACTTTTCCCAAAGGGAGATAGAAGAGTTCCTCAGTGAAGCAGCATGCATGAAAGACTTTGACCATCCCAATGTCATCAAGCTCCTAGGTATGGACTGTTGCTCTCCACCCTCCCACTGGGATTTGGGGGTGCTTGGATCCCGCACAGACACCTGCCAGGGGCAGAGTGTGGTGCCTTTGCCGTGCAACCTGCCTGTGTTTTCCAGGCGTGTGCATCGAGCTGAGCTCCCAGCAGGTCCCCAAGCCCATGGTGATCCTCCCGTTCATGAAATACGGTGACCTACACAGCTTCCTGCTGCGCTCGCGGCTGGAGGTGGCCTCCCAGGTAAGGAGGGTAGGGGGCGGGGGGCTCTGTGTCTGCTGGGAGTGAGGTGGGACCATGCCTCTCCTGGGACCAAACCTGGCTTGCTTTTTGAGAATGGAGGAGGACTTGGATGTAGTCCTGCTTCTAGCCTTTGCCAGGTGAATCCAGCTCCACAAAAGCCTGTGGGATTCTCCCTTGCCCTCTCCAGGCTGGAAGGAGGACGTGGGGGTGTGAAGGGTAACCACGCCAGGATGGGCTGGAATGGGCTCTTCTCTCCCGGACAGTGGGAGAGGTTATTCCTTAAAGGGTTATTCCTTAAACAACTGTCCCTGCATCCGCAGCTCCTGCAGGCTTGTGGGCCAATAAATCTTACACCCCGGGGCCGTTAGCCCAATGGGGATGAGAGCAGCCACAGTGGCCACTGCAGTGGACTCCTGGTGCTCTCCGAGGCCAGGTATCAGCCGGCAACCCTGGACAGGGAAGCCTTTCAGATCAAACCAAAGGTGCTTCCCAAAGGACTTGCACCGTCTAACCTGCACCTTCCTCTCCCAGTTTGTGCCCCTGCAGACACTGGTGAAGTTCATGGTTGATATCGCCCTGGGGATGGAGTATCTGAGCAGTCGGCACTTTCTCCACAGGGATTTGGCGGCGCGAAACTGCATGTGAGTTTGTTTTCCCTCTGCTTTGTCCTGCACAGATGAGCGCCAGTGGAAGCCCTGTGGTTTTACAGCACGACTTGGCTTCCTTCTGTAAAACCTCCTTCCCTCTTGAGAGACACGGGAAAAGAGCTCAGGCTTCGGCTTCGGGATTTGGTTCTCAAGTTTTCCATCTCGTCATCCCTGTTTCCTCCCGACAGGCTGCGGGATGACATGACGGTGTGTGTGGCAGACTTCGGCTTGTCCAAGAAGATCTACAGCGGCGATTACTACCGTCAGGGCCGAATCGCCAAAATGCCGGTGAAGTGGATTGCCATCGAGTCCCTGGCTGACCGTGTCTACACCACCAAGAGCGACGTGGTAGGTCCGAGTAGCAGGGCAGGAGGTGAGAGCTGGGGAGCAATCCCCAAATTCAGTCGTCTGCCCTTCCCGCGCTTCATTACGGCTGCTCTTGTACCCTGGAAGTGCGAAGCCGGAGGAGCGGGAGGCTGTAACGGGACGCGTTGACCTTTTTCTGCCGGCCCAGCGTCCTGGAAGAGGTTTACAAAGTGGGCTGTTTGCTTCTTCTGTGGCATTCCTTATTATTTTCAATTCTGGGGAGGGCAGGACGAGAGCGACAACTCGTAGCATTGTGCGAGGATCCAGTGGACGCTGGGCAGTGACCTTTCCCGGTGAAAAGACTCATTCATTCCTCCTGGAAACATCCTCTCAGCCTGCTTTCCCTTTGTCCTCGCAGTGGGCATTTGGCATTACCATGTGGGAGATAGCGACCCGAGGGATGACGCCTTACCCAGGGGTGCAGAACCACGAGATCTACGAGTACCTCTTCCACGGGCAGCGCCTGAAAAAGCCCGAGGGCTGCTTGGATGAGCTGTGAGTATCCTACCCCTCTTCCTGGGCTGTAGTTTGCTGTCTGTCCCCAAGCGCTGCTTGCCCTTGGGGCTTTCTGTGGGATGCTGCTCTCCCTGTCCTTCCTCGTCCTTCCACAACTGCTCGTGCTGTGGATTTGTGGCTCAGTGCTGAACGTGGCGGAAAATCCCGCCCAGCTGTGCTTCACAGCGCAGTTACACCGTGCCAGCATTCCTGTCCTCCCACCGGCCGCAAACCTGCCTCCCCAAGTGGGAGGAAGAATTCCGTGCTGGGGAGGGAGTCACCTTCCATCTCACCCCCTCCATTTCTCCCACAGCCCCAAGAAAGGGAAGTTATTAAAGGGCGGATTTTAACATAAATCACAAGGATTTAACCTTGTGGGGCTGAGGCAGGGAGCTGATGGCACAGGTGTGCTCTCGGAATAACACCGCACCTGGAATTTCAAACAAAAATACTTAAATAATACTAACACATAAACAATTAAAACCCTTTAAGACTTGCCTAATCTCCCGAGTTTTGACGTGCCCAATCAAAGCCGGACCCCAGAGCAGCGATTCACCCAGCCAGGGGAAGAAGCATCTTCTTAACCGCGGGCACAGAGATCCCACGGAACATCCCAGAATGTGTTCGCAGTGCTGGGAGCGGGGCTGCTCCGCCGGACAGGAGCAGTGCCCCCTGCAGTTCGCGCTGGAGGAATTGGACTTTTTTAGCTGGTTATTTATTTGATTTTTAAAATTAAGACAGTTTTGGCTGGAAGGTCTTGACTGGTGATGCTCCCACAAAACTTCTATGGGAACAGGCACCTGTGGGAAGGACAAGAGGAGGGCTCAGGGAGCAGAGCTGGGATGTTCCTGGGGAGATCACAGCGCTGCAGATGGGTGCCTCTGCCCGACACTCTGTCCGTGCCAGACGGCAGATAAATCCCTGCAGTTTGGGCAAACAGCCTTTGTTTTAATGCAAAGCAGCTCAGGGCTTTGCCAGTTTGGGAAAGGGGCAGGGAATTAGCCCCCACACCTCCTCCAGCCCAGCGCCTGGCAACATCTTCCCTGAGAACCACGTTCCTCTCCCAATTTCCAGGTATGAAATCATGTCCTCGTGCTGGAGAGCCGACCCCGCCGCCCGCCC